CTCTAAAAATATTCATACTCGCATACGGTGCGGATCGATCACCTAGTTTAAAGTAATAAAGAACTGTACACTTGTGACAGAAAAAAAAAACTGGAAAACAGGCCCACGCGTAAATAAAACAAATTACAAACTTCAGCCCATTAACGCATATTAGGCCCAATAAAATCAGAGCCTTTCATCACTCTACTCAAATCTCAAACCTGAGTCACACTCACCAAACAACAACATTTCATCTAAACAGAATCCCATGGCGACTTCTCTCTCCGTCTCCAGACTCCTCTCCTCCGCTTCCTCAGCCACCGCAATCTCCGTCGCGAAGCCGTTACTTTCCCCCACCGTCTCTTTCACCGCGCCAATCTCCTTCACGCGCACTCTCTCCCCGAATCTCTGTCTCAAATTCCGTAACCGCCGCCGATCCAACCCAACCTCCGTCTCTTCCACCACCAGATCCTTCTCAACAACCGTCTCCGCCGCTATCTCCGTCGGAGATAAACTCCCTGAGTCAACTCTCTCTTACCTCGATCCAACCACCGGAGATGTCAAAACCGTCACCGTCTCATCCCTAACCGCCGGTAAGAAATCGATCCTCTTCGCCGTTCCCGGAGCATTCACACCGACCTGCTCGCAAAAGCACGTCCCTGGATTCGTATCCAAAGCAGGAGAGCTCAGATCTAAAGGCATCGATGTAATCGCTTGTATCTCCGTCAACGACGCGTTCGTGATGGAAGCGTGGAGGAAAGATCTGGGAATCAACGACGAGGTGATGCTTCTCTCCGATGGTAACGGTGAGTTTACTGGGAAACTTGGTGTTGAATTGGATTTGAGGGATAAACCTGTGGGACTTGGAGTTAGGTCAAGGAGATATGCGATTTTAGCGGAAGATGGTGTTGTGAAGGTTCTGAATCTTGAAGAAGGTGGAGCTTTCACTAACAGTAGTGCTGAAGATATGCTTAAAGCTCTGTGATGTGATGATGATTCTGAGTTTTCTTCTCTGTTTTTTTCTCATATGTGAAG